CGCCGGCGCAGATGAAGCTCGTGGGGCTTAGCGCAAAGGAGGCGCCCAGGCGAGTGGCTTGCAGCGCCGTTTGGCAGTTGGCATTGGGAATTAGTGGCACGTCCACCTGACGCATAATGGCCTGGTAGGCGCCGGTGGGTCCAAAGTCATTCTTGCCCCAGCCGGCCACCCAGCAGCGTTGGCCCACAAAGTTGGTGGCGGGCAGACAAACGGTGCCAATTGTAGAGCGACTCGTGAGGGAGACGGGCGTCGAGAGCTTCAAGATGGCCACATCGTTTTGAAGATTGTTGGGATTGAAGGCAGGATTCACGTACACATTGGAGACGAACACATCCTGCGCAGGTATCGGCTCGCTGATACTGGCCGCATCCCATTCGCCCAAGCGCACCTTAAACGATGTCAAACTGGCAAGGATTAGCTCAAATCTGTGCCGAGTGAAGCCAGCTGCACTTACGCCAAATTGTAGACCTTGTGGGCGGCAGTCAAGACATGCTGTGCTGTGATAAGTGCTCCACCGCCCAGATACACATCCGCCGTGGTCAGCAGCGCTGCCTGCCAAGGATACGCACCGAAGCTGGCCTGGCCAGGATTGGCCAGTGCCGAGCCCGCCGGCGGCGGGAATCGCAGTCCGCACTGATAGCTGCCAGCCTGGCAGCATGCTACAAGTCCGTAGCTGCAGGTCAGCGGCGTCGACGTCGTGGGATTCGTGGCCTAGAAACGCAGTGAGAATTAGGCCGGAGTACGTTTTGGGCTCGCCCCGTCAAATGGCTCACCAGTCCGCCATTGTTCACTATGCGTATGTCCAGCTGGCCGCTGCCATCGTTTGGCAGCGAGGGCAGCGGATTGGGGCAGGATCCCGACGGCACGCAACGGCAATTACTGCTGCCGGGCGCCACAATGGAGGGCGCGGAGGGCCAGCCAGCCGGGGGCACCTGCGGCGGCACCAGCGTGCCCACAATCAGCTGTCGCGTGAGCACTGCAAGATGCACTCGCAGTCGAATAAGTGTGCGCAAATAGCTGTCAGCACTTTCACTTACGCGTGTGATTATCCGGATTGGCCGCATCGCTGGGCTGCGGTGCGCTCTGCTCCGACAGCGAGCTGATGGCGCCGAAGCTCCAGCAGCGAACACCGACTGCGAGCAACTGCAGCAACAGGCTTAATATTGGTAATGCATTCATCGCCTACACAGTGGCAACTAACGCGGCCAAGTGACGTGCCGCTTGGCTATATAGGGCGCCCCAAGCGGACGTCCACCGATAAATTAACTGCGAAATGACCTCAGTTTAAAGCTCGCCCCGACTCAGGGATTTTCCGAGCTGCATAACACAAAAACGCTTTCAGTAATAAAAGACTACAACAAGTTAACAACGAAATTTCAATGCTCTCACATGTCGATTTTTAGCAGGTTTTTCAAAGATTTTGCTTGAAGCTTTTGACGGAGATTAATTAACAAACAATGCAAATTGTTCAATATTTTTATGAGCACATAACCGATTATTAATTCTGAGAGTTTCCCAATGATAAATTCATATTTATTTATGTTTGCATATCGTTTTGGTTCCAAGAACTCTGACTAATGAAAATATCAAATTATGAAAAGTCGAAATATGATTGTGTTAATATTTTATACTATTTCGACTTTCGTTAACAAATTTTATAATCTTTGTACTTCCTTGTTCCAGAAATACTCTAAAATTTTGAACAGCGCGATGAGAACAATTATAGTCAAGAAGAAGAGACGATGAGCGAAATGTAATGAGGTATATAAAGTTATCTGATCTGTCAAATGTGTATATTGTAATATATTTCTATTATTATATTAAATTATTTTTTATTATTATTATTGCTATTATTTTTTTAATTGTTATTTATTATTATTATTATTGCTATTTATTATTATTATTATTATTGTTATTATTATATTCTCATTATCATTATTACAATAATATATATTATTATTATAATTATTATTTTTATTATTATTATCATTTTTATTATTATTATTATTATTGTTATTTTTATTATTATTGTTTTTATTATTATTATTGTTTTTATTATTATTATTGTTTTTATTATTATTATTATAATTATTATTATTATAATTATAATTGTTGTTATACTTTTTATTATTGTTATCAATTTTATGAAACTACCGAAATTTGTTCTTAATTTTTATACTTTCCCAATTTCGTTTTTCTTTGTAAAATGTAATCTAATATTACAGATTTTTCTTTCCGCTTACATTAATTTATTATTAAATATATTTAAAAAATTATTAAATTATTATTTATAGACTTATTTCATATTATACTTTTTAATTACGACTTCATTTATTTATTATTGAATACATTTATTTATAATGAAATATATTTAAAATAATGTGCTGTGGAATTATGTGTTACGAACCTTGCAGCTTAGTGCATATATCGAAGGGTACAAAAAGTGTCATCAATGCGTCCAATTTATGTGCAAATAAATAATACGAGTGTGTGTGTGTTTGTGTTTGTGTGTGTAAAATTAAACAAACTAACGACCACCCACAACAATGAATACACTCACATCAATTCTGTAGATGAATACACTCAGTGTTAAATGTGTTGTGTGTTCCGTGTGAGGTCTTTGGGCATTAAATAAATTGCGCTGACAAATTTGTGGCGATTATTTTTGTTTGGTTTTCATTTGCATTGTGTTGGCTGTGATAATTTTCGCCCCAATTTCGATTCGATTTTTAATAATTTAATGGTTTAATTGTACAGATATGCACGAGTCTGAATGCTTTAATAATAGTTGTTGCTGCTCAACGCTTAACACTTTCCGCTTGCCCTCCAAACATTCGTGTGCACCCAACTAAAACCCAACTTTTGAACTGTAAAGCCCCAGGAAATTTTCAGATAAGGTAGTCAAAGCTTTAAATACGACTCTTTTGCTTTATCAGCGAGAACGAGCGATATCTATTTTAAAAATTGATATTATCAACCGAAACTTTGACGTTCAATTCAAATGCTCTTTCGAACATAACTGAAATACTATAAATTCAAATAAAGAACCCTTTCTCTTTCGACCTCTCGAATAAAGCATTTTGGTAAAAAATTAAATTATCATAGTCTCTTGTCGATGAAGTCAACTATGCATACGGCATTTAATTTTTGGCTACTGCGATTAATATAGCAGATATTTTCTTTAAAATATAATAACGAAATGGATTTCCTAATATTTTCCTTATGCACAGGTTTTTTTTTTAATTTTTTTAAATTTTGGAAATTTATTTAGTATTTTCAAATAAAATCGGCCAACTTAGCATTATTAATAAGCATTCAATATAATATCTATGAAAGTATTCAAACAGTCAAAAATATTAAAACGTGAACAACAATATTTTTCGTGAAAACTCTATCATGGCCAGCTAAGTGACGCTTTACGCTGCTTTCTATTATTTATTAGACTATCTATTATATTATAGACTATCGAATGACCTAAATCTGCCTGCAGACACATAGAACTGTCCACATAGGCCGACTCAACAAATTATCAACCTTCTCGAATGTTTGTTGTTGTGATTTATTAAAAGTAGAATAATAATATTATCATTATTAACTATACAGCAAGTCATAAAATAAAAATAAAATATCAGGGATTACAGCTTTCTTATAACTATGGCTTATTAAAAATATGTAAAGAGAATTGTGAATTGTTGCGTAGGTAAAGACTGTTTCTTTCTGAAGACCTATATGATATAGCAATCCGATATTATGGCTTACAATGAGCTTCAAAAACACAAGATCCTTCATACAAAATCTCATTTTTCGACCGATTCTTCCTATAGAGATATATGAATTAGTGATATCCAGTCTTTAAAAAAATATATGTCGGGTTTTGTCAAGATATCTTGAAAAATAAAAATTCTTTATTTTTGACCGATTCGTTCTTATAGAATGCATATCAAATAGTGTTGGCTTGTGTATAAGGAATACAGACAAGATATATTAATATACAAAAAAGTTTTTATCTAATTTTCAATCAGTCTTGTGCCATATAAATGATATAGTCTCCATCTCCAGAGAGATTGGACCTATATTGGGTTATATTTCTTTAATTTTAAGGTCAACTTTAAGATCATTAAGAGATTGGCGATTTCACATTGAGGTTATAACACTATAGAGAAAACTTGATTCAAGTATAAAATTCTTAATTTTTCTGTCTGTGTATTAATTGTTGCTAAACGCTTAACACTTTTCACCTGCTCGATAAACATTTGTATGTATCTAAAACTCTGTTGGGCTGTAAGGCACCTGAAATGTTAAGCCAAGATAGTCAAAGTTCTAAATGCGAAGCTTTTGATTTATCGACTAGCCCGAACGTTGACTAACTAGAAATTTAGGTGATATTACTAATCGAAATGTTCAGCGGTGCGGGTCACGTTCAATTGGACTTCTCGGCGATACCAAAGTTGTACGGTCCGGAGAATTTCTGGCACTGGCGAATGCTTTTGCGCGCCTACCTGGAATCAGCGGACCTGTGGCGGGAAGATCACCCAAAGGAGGTGGGCTTAAGTCGAACTAAAAAATGAAAAGAAAAACAAAATTGTTTTATTTATTTTTTTTATAGAGCCCACATGCAAAGTTTATACTTTTGGCCACTGTGCAGGCTGACAAGATTGAGCCAGGATATGATGACGAGTCACCCAAGCAAATATTTAAGAGTCTAGAGGAACGATTCCGTCCATATTAGCGAGAAGAACAACTTTTGTCTCTCCATAGCTTTGCTTTTAATGTATTTCATGTTTCGCATTGTCAAAGCTTAGCCAGTTCCTGTCAGATGAAATAAAATACAAATATAAATCAACAAACTTCCATATTCAATTGCCCAAGATTCCGAAGCTCTGATCGCTGTGGGACTGTGGTCTGGCAGGTTTCTCAACAATTTACTTATTCAAATATATTTTGGCTTTAATTTTTCTGTTTTTCCGACATGTTGGGTAGTTCATCATGGGGAGTACATTGGAAATGCTATATCGAGGTACTATGAAACAAAAAAAACGATTGCCTTTTTCTTATATTTTCAGTCAGTTTTTTAAGTTTAATCTTAACTATTTTTTCTAAGGAAATGTGAATTGAAAACGAAACCAATATTTAAAAGTCTAGAATAACGTTTTCGTTCATAGTGTTGAAAACAATCGTTTGATTCTCCATAACTTTGCTTTTAATGTATTCAAATTTTTTGCATTTTAAGGGCTGTTTCAAAGCAAAACAAAATATTAAATAACATAAATATGGGTAAATAAATAGTGCAAATGCGTTTTCTTGGTAGAAGTTCCAGCAAATTTTATCCAGTTGAATCAAGAGTTCAGGTCCCCAATATTCCAAAGCTCGCTGATAATAATAACTACTGGCCATGGCGGATCCTCTTGCGTTCTTATTTGGATGCTGTGGGACTGTGGTCTAACAACCATCCAGATGATGTATACTACATTAATTCACTCATTGATATATACAAGTATTTATCTTTTCTGTATGCATTAGTGCCCCAGGAGCAAGTTCATTCTGTTGAGTACATTGGAAACGTGGCTTATATTGCGAGAATATGAAACCAAAACAGCGGTTGATATATTCAACGATTTAGAAACCCGTTATGGAACAAGAAAATGAAATGGAAAATGGGTATTTTGGCTTTAATAAGTAATCTCTGAAAAAAGAAACATAGTAATATATTTATATGTTTTAAGGTTGAATCAAATACCAAGTGAATTAGTATTTGATTCATGGATTTGGAATTATTAGGACCTACTTGTAAGATCTGTTCTAACCTTACATCCGTTTTAAGCCATAACTTCATCATTGGCTTTCGAAAAATGCATTAAAATGAAAATAAAATAAAAAATAATTTCTTTGACAGCCATAAAAGAAACCAATTTTTCGTAAATAACGACTTGCTTTCTATTCAAAATAAATGAAATGGATTTTAAAGGAGTTGAATGCACTGAAAATATTTTGAATTTATGTTCGCGCCAATATCAATTTTGCATGAAGGTGGATGCGCGCAAAATTTTAACTCTCGTGAAGTGGGCTGCACGCATTTTTGCGTCCACTTGAAGTTGGCTGTGGAACTTGACTCATTTGCGCTGCGGAACTGGCTCATGAGCAGATCAAATCAGGTCAAAACATAAATAAAAGTAAATTAGACAAAAAACAGGTTAACAGGTAAAACATAAAGAGTGTGCAATGATAAAATTCTTTTGGCAAGCGTCGTCACTGCGAAGAATTTTACTGCACCTGTTACCCAGAATAACAGATTAGCAGCCCTGGCAAAATGGTCACACTCGAATAAATACGATTGAAACCTATCGGTGTATGCTTATCGCTTTATCGACACAGTCATTCGGCTGCTTTTAATAACAGTTGCATATCAGAAGTCAAAGCGAAGAGTAGAGCGGAGCGCGTGTGCTCACATTTGTTTTCAAACCAAACGTTAGTGTTAAAGTACACATTTATCAATGACGCTAGATACAAACAAGCAAAAGTTATTTAATACTAACAACGAAATGACCGCGTACCTAAGGGCTTAAAAACGACTTACACCAAACAAAACAAAAACAGCGCGAAAAGCAAAAGCAAAAAGTCCAAGCAGGCCAAGAAGAAGAAGCCAAAACAACGCGACATCGACACCTGTTTGCCTGCATTCCTGAACCTGTGCAACACTGGCTACTTGTGTGTATGTGTTGTAGTGCATGTGATCGCGTGTAGTTACAGAATAAGGACATGCAAACGAATTCTATTCTTTAAACAGTGTTTAAATAATTAACAATTTGTTTGGCCACCGCTGCAATTGCAACATTTAGCAGCCAATCGTTGCCCGCCGCCGCGCCTGCGCAAAAGAAACAGCTAACGGCAGCAGCAACAACAAGATAAACACAAACACACACGAAAACCGGTTAGAGCGAGACACACAGAGACCGCACGAACACAGTTACAAACTGCTCACTCGCATAGTTTGTATTCGTTTTTGTTTAGTTTTGCTTGGAAAACAGAAATAGAAGGAAACACACAAAGCAAAACACACACAAGAAGAAACGAAGAAATACAAGAAGAAAAAATCAATTGCAAGTGGTGAAAAGTGCGAACGTTACAAAGAAAACAAAACGGCAATTCACACGAAATACGAAATTAGAAATAATTTGTGCCGTACGCGGAAATTGGGCAGCCAAAAAGTGTTTACATAAGGGTTAATGCCCAAGTGCCCTCTTATCGCCAAAGAAAGTGAATTAAAGCCACAAAAAAATACAAATTGTAACACTAATTGCCCAACCAGTTTCTAGAGTCCCGCCCTTATCACAAACAAACGCGCAACCACTTGTTGACCAAATTGGTGAGTAAGCCATTGTTTTTATTGCTTTTATTGGTTTATTAAAATGTTTACTGCGCTTTTTACCTGCTTTATTGTCTCGGCGGAATTTTATCTGCGTAAGATATCCGCTCTGCACTTGCTATCGGATCATTGATCAAAATTTGAACAAGTTCAACTTTCACTGAATTGCGCGCCAAAATTGGCAGCACACACACACACACACAAATTTGTTGCAAATGCCAAAAACTGAAATGCAATCGCGTTGCTTTGTAAATCAAATTTGTTTCATCTATGCTGCTCTTTTTTTTATGGCTTTTTATATTTGTTGCTGCTGATGTAACCAAAAGTTGATTTCCGAGCCGATTTGCAGCTTCATTAAACCCAGCTCGCCTCAAATTGAGTGTAAGGCGAGGCGAAGCTGATTATGAGATAATCAGCAAATTGCTCAACACAATTGCGGAACACGCTGCAAGTCATGAGAGCAGAGAAAGAGTTTTAACTGTTCACAATTTCCTCTGATCATAAGCAAGACAAGGAAAAATAAATTTGAACTTAAATAGGAGTAATTTACGGCCCGACAAAAGATTCAAAAAGTCTGTGTAACAATCGAAAAAAATGCACGTAAACCAATTCTTAATTGCATCTTTAACTTTACTCAAACAAAATTAAATTTCTTTCCTTTGAAAATGTTTAGAAATAATGTTGTGTGTTTAAGGCAAGTTTTTGATTCATTGTCAAACTCTTTATTGAAATAATCTGATATTATACCCTGTAATCGAAACCCTGTAGTAGACAAGAAATATTTATATTTTGGCAGTGCGAAAGAATATCTTCGACAAAAGGAGGCATCTTCGCCTCAAATAGGGTTTATACTGGATCAGAAGGGTATTTTGGTCATGTCTGTCTATATTTTTACAAAACAATTGCAATTTCTCGAAAAAATCTATAATATCTGTATCTTTATATCATACATACATATATATGTTGAAGATAGAAAAATTCAAATGTATCCTTATATAAGACATATTTATATTGAAGATCTTAAATTTAAAATTTATCCATATATCAGACATATTTATTTTGAAGATTACAAAATTAAAATTAATCCTTATACCATACATAGATTAGGAATTTTGGATATATGGCTTTAATGTTGGTTTAGATTAGCAGACTTAAGGGTCGCTGATATTTATATAGCTTAATAACGGGTACTTTATGAGTTTTCATTCGAATGTTATACTAAACGAAAACAAATTTGTTTTGCTAGAAATCGAATTCCAGGCATGAGTCACAGCAGTTGGCGACTGCAGTTGCCCCATTCATTCATTCAATCGTTTTGCATACTGAATAAACGAACACAATCTCGACAACAAAATTCCAACTTCAACAGCAGCAACAACAACTGCCAAATATTCCCACCAAAAATGCAGAAATAAACAAATAGCAGCAGCAGCAGCAGCAACAGAAACAACAACAACTAAAATTTCAGACCAAGCTGCCAGACAACAACAGCAAGTTTTTTTTAATGAAAAGCAACAACAACAAGAGTTAAACTATGCGCATACAAAAAGTTATATAAAAAACACGTTGAAACACGTTGAGCGAACGAAAGGGGTGGGCGAGGGGGGTAGGGGGTAGCGGGGTGGCAGGCAACGCTCACTTTGAGCCACGCTTCAATTGCAAATGCGGCAGCGAGCAAAAAACATTGTTGTTGTTGTTGTTGACGTTGTTGTAATTGTAAATTCTACAGGTTTCTGTCGCTGTCTGTGCAGCAGTTGTTGCCTTAATGGCGCACAACAGCAACGACTACAACAACAACAACAACAACAACAACAGCAGCAACAATGCTCCACAATTTTACGCCAAAGCTAAAAAGGCGACCGATCGAATCGAAGCAATCGGCGATCAAAGTTCCTACAATCGTAGGCAAACCGGGCCAAGAGCCCGGCCAGAACCGCACTGTGGCTATTGGCAGCAGCAGCATGAAAAGGCAGATCCTTTAGGGTATCCAAGCATTTATACAATATCTGGTTTCTAAGATCTTCAGCTTTTAGATTCCTTACTTAAACATAATAATAATATTCTATATATGTATGTATATTTATAAATCAAAAGTTTTTCTGCATGTTTTTTCGAGTTATCAAATTCTTAAACAGATGTTAGTTCCATGAGTTTCAAAAGATACCAACATTATTCATGTTGTTTTTATTATAGTTCCCCGGTTTTCGACATCCCGAATCCTTTGTTTTCTACTACTTAAATTGGCATATTTTATGAGCTCACAAAAACTTATGGCTACGACTTGACATACTATTAAATAATTTGGTAATAAGGGAAAATAAAACGGAAATAAGTTTTACGATGTGTAGAAACAGGTCTGAATGGGGAGAATGTCTGGGGGGTGAAGCCTATGAAGTCTGGGAATTTCCCGACGCTTGTCCACAAGTTTTATCGCCAGTTGAGACCTTTTTGTTTTTTTTTTTTTTTTATAAATGTTTATTGTATTGGATAAAAATAGCATACATTTTTATTAAAACACAGTTAGCTTAGAAACCTAATTGTGAAAAGTTGCTCAAATTTTAGATTCTGTATTAAAATTAGCTTTTCGCATTGGAAATTTAATTTTTATTTGAGAATCCATTTGCTTTCCATCTTTTACATTTTTAATCGTACTTATTATCAAGACACCTTGAAAATAATAATTTCAATTTATTTATTGTTTTGCAATCGAGCTTAATTTGATATGCAAAGTTATAAGGACAATTTTAAGATATAACCAGTTGTAATTATATGAAAGTCACATTTATGGCATGGAAATATCTAGAGGTTTTTGATGGGCAGACAAAGTGACCTTTATTTCTAATCAACCACTCAGGAGTGATAACAAAAAGTCTTAAATAAGTACAAAAAGTATATGCTATTTCAAGTGTTTATTATTTACAAACTGTCATATTAAAGATATAAAATATAAAAACAACTTAACTCTTCAAGAACAGATGCAACTTAAATGAATGCAAATTGAATGTGGGATTACAATTGGATATGGTCTTGTTGCCCACTGTGCGCCGCAGCCAGTGCTGCCAATTCAGCCATTTTCTAGCTAAATTCAGTTGCTTTTAGAGGCCGTCAGCTGGAAGCAACAGCTGGTATTTGCAGGTGTCTGCCACTGTGTCTGTTTTCAAACGGATTTAAACACTTGAAAAATAAAAGGATAAGATGCTTATATTTTTTTTTTTAATTATGTGGTTCCTTCATGACAAGAAGTAGCAAAAAGTATAAAAGTATTGGCTAAATTAGGTCGTGTGCTAATTAAATCTGTGTAATTAGTGTAAACATAATACAAATATAAGCTTCGTAATGCTTGTATAGAGTGGCCCTAGACTTCAAGCACTGCACTGAAAAAGGTGTGTCTGGCTCTGCAAAAGTATTTCGCACCCATTAAAAACTACTATAAACGCAAAATTATGTGTCCACAAAAAAAAAAAACCACAAGGTTAACGTTGGATGCATTGAGGTAGCAACTGTGCAAAAGGAGGCAGCTCTTTGCCAATTTATAAATCTAATTTAGCTGATTTTTCTAGCTATTTTTAACATAGGTTTTGGCTGCTTTTCTGAAGCGACAGTTGGCAGCACTGCACTCAAAAATGTTGCATTGTTGCTGCGCTGTGGCCCCCGGGCCTTCCGCCGGTTTGCGGCCGAGTTGCCCAAGTTGGCCAACTGCTTGTTGGCCACTTGGTGTTCGATTCGAATTGACTTCACATTGTTGGCAGCCGGCGGCTCAGCTCGAATCGATGTGCTTTGGCTTTGGTTTGGTTTTTGTTTTTGGTCTTGGACTGCGACTGCGATTGGAACTCGTAATTGTTTCATAAAACGCAAAACTGGCCGGACAGGCAACTGCCAAGTGGGGTGAGGTTGAGGGAGAGAGAGGGAGGTTGGGAGGGGGGGCTAGCTCTGTAAACAGGTGCGCAATGCGCAAGCGCGCGTTTTCTGGTTTTCGAATTGCGACTTGGTACCTGGCTTTTGGGGCAACACTTTTCGATTTTAATTATGGTTTATGTGTCGTTTTCGGTTCGCACGCGATATATATCGCATATATGTATGTAAGTGTACGTCGAGCGGCACAAGGTTATATTGCGGCCGGACTCTGGGGCGGTCTCCTGGTAATGGAAGTGCCTGCAAATGGGGACGACAGCGGTTCGCTGAGGCTGTCCATGCGTACTCGCGTATATACTTATAAGCCCATTTGGGTGGCTAGGCAATCGACTGGCTGCGCTTATTGGAGCGAAACCCACTGGGCAGCAACTAGGCAGAGTGCCCACTTGAAACGTAGAACTCGTGTTCTACATTTGATTTGTGTTTCATTTGATCTGATCCACATTGACATTGCTTTCCTTTAATCGCAGCTTAGTTGTACTTCAAGCATGGCGAATCTTATACTGATTAAAGTACTTGTCGTATCTAGATGCGTGACTGTAACTATACAGTTATTTATTTCACGATTATCGTGACGCACATGCAAAATACAGTAGTTGCGGCACATATTTAAATGACTCGAACCTAGAATTTTCCAGAAATTAAAAGGGTCTCTCTCAATCTGAATGATTATTATTGAGTTTTTTAAAAATTTGTTCTCCGAACAGAAATCGATATGTCTATAGAATTTCTATAATATAATATCTATCAATTTTTATAGTTTAATAATAATAATATTTGAAATATGCAACTTTTCGCTTTTTAAATTGATATGGAACAATCAATAAAAATATATATGTCAGTCAAAGAAATATATATTTTGAAATTGATTTATCTGAGTACGTATAAATGTGACCCTATATTTGTTTGAGCTTCTGCGAACTGTGCAAATGCCTTTTTGCGCTGTCATCTCTAATTTGTTGTAAGCGAATTATTAGGGGCAAGGTCACAAAACTGTGAATCATTGGCCCATATAAAGGTGAATGTAGAATACTCGGTTCAGGTCTATCGCAATTGATTAAACAATTGAGTCACACAAAGAATTACCCACTTGTAAATGTCAACCTTAAGTATCAGAATAATAATTGCCTTACACCTGTCTTATCTCGAAAAGTGCGCTACTGTATATTGTGTGTCTAGGGATTGAGCTCTTTGGATGATATTCAACACAGCGTTTCAGGGTGACTGATAAAGCGTACAATAACTCCACGAAAGTATCTCAAAGTTAGAATGCCATCTAATGCCAAGGCACATTTACAACAAGCTCAGGCTCCGTCATAAGTCACACGCAAGCTCTCAGATACATTTGTGGAATTGCTAGTTCTCTTGTCTCTGCTGTCGTGCTGATCAAAGCTCAAGTCCTAAAAACTGCACACACACACACACAGAGTGTAGACAGTAAGATTGTATCTCAAGTTACGCGCACACGCGCCGCGCCGTCTTTTGTCGGCGCATTTGTGTTTACACTTGATTGCAATTTGTATCTAGCAGATACAAGTGTGCTTTGCATACAACGAATGCCGTTAAAATGATACACATCCGCACAGAGCTTTTAGCCGTAACTGTAACCGACTCGGATGAGACTCTCTGTGTGCCACATGTATCTGGCTTATACACAGGTATGTATCTGGGTATCTCTGCATGCAGCGAGGCGAGCAGATAAAAATACACGTTTTTTGCCTCGTTGTGTTTTTTGTTTTTGGCCTTATTAATATTTATCAATTTGTTATTTAACTTGTTTTGATTTCTTTGTCTGGTCAAAAAATGAAAAATTAAAAAAGAAACAAACTCTTCGTAAACAAATCGAAAGAAATGAAAAAAAAAAAAAAAAAAGAAAAATTAAAAGCAGCAACAAATTTCAATAGCATTTGCATAATTTGGCCAGTTTAAATGGGGTTTTTTTTTTGGTGTAGCAGAAGAAGAAGCAGCAGCTGCTCGAAGCGAAAACGCATCAGCAAAAATTGAAACGTTAAATACGCTTATTGTTTTTATTGTTTTCAATTTTTGTTGCTGCGTATTCAAGGCATTTTTAAATTGCCAACTCGACCTTATTATCGAGTATTTGTCTTACTTTTAATTATAATTAACTGCTCGAACCGCATTAACAGGTGCCTCTGCGTGTTGGCTTAATTAATTGGCTTTTTGTGTGGCTCAACTATTTACTGAATATTGAATATGGAATATGGAATACTGGACAGAATGCCCCATGGCATTCGCTGGAATGCCAGCTGCTGAGCCGGCAGCCCATAAATATTTAACACATTGGCTCTGTCTTTAATCGTAGAACCGTGTCAAAGCATTTAAAATCAATTTGGGAACGCAATTAAAACACGTGTTAAACTTTAACTGGAAATAAATACTATCTAAATGATACGGTCAGGTGAAACCTTAACCGGGGGCTACTCAAATCCGCGTGCGCAGCAGAGAAATGCGATATAAAACTGTTTGCCAGTCAAACTGTTGTTTTTATGTTTTACAGCTTTCAGCTGTCAGCTGAGTATTACAACGGGCATTTGGCCCGTGGGCATCACCCTCGATAAGTATATTAACATTTCGGGGCGTACGAGGCGCCGATAAATGCCTTAATGCAAGCCGCAGCGACTGCCACAGCTGGCTTAGACCCGAACCATGCGTAGTTTCTATCTCTAAAGCTGCGGCCCAAAGCAAAAACAGCACGAGTTCTAAAAAGTGTGCACCGAAATGTATCTGCAACTAAATTGTAGAATTCCGCATTCAGTTAGTTTTTGTGCTGTAGCTGGCAGTTCTGGTTAACATATTAATAATCGCGAGTGCTCTTCGAGCCGAGCTTATGAAAATACTTAGTACGAGCACTTAATCGCAGTCTAAGCGCTGATAAATACATACATTGCAGTGCCATTGTGTGTGTGTGTGTGTGTGTGTGTGTGTGTGTGTGTGTGTGTGTGTGTGTGTGTGTGTGTGTGCTTGGGGAATAGATGTTATAGCTTTAGAGATGTTAGAGCTTCAGGTCACGTGGTGTATAATACGCAGGTACGTAACCCCCTGTTACCAGCCTAGTTATTTAGTTAATTTGTTGACTAAAATCATAAATCAATTGCTGTATTATCAGAGCTGCAGTAAATTGGATGCTTATTAGATAATCAATTGTTATAGCCAGAGACAGACACTTAATAAGGGTATAAATAGCTATGTATATATATATATTTACTAACTATAGACTGGTTAAATACAGCAATAATTAAACTAGTTATATCTGCACCGATAATTTTGTATAAGTACATTTATTCAGCAGCGGCAATTCAAACGAATTCTGCAGTTTATATTATATATATATTTATATATAACTAACTAAAAAAAATTAAAATTAAAATTATAATTCCCACATAGATGGTATTATAATTTTGTCATCAAATGTGTTACGCATAGAAGGAAACATTTACGATCTTATTAGGTATTTATTCTTAATCGGTGTCAACAGCCGTCTAATTCTACACAGCGAGAAAAATGTCTGTCTAAAATTAAGTTCGAATGACCTCGCATTAAGTATTTGCGATTCTCAAAATCCAAGCACAAGTACGCTTTACTAAAAATAGGTATAAAATTCTTGAGACAAGTCCAACAAATCTTAATAAAAGTAAAAAGAATTTTTAAGTAAAACTCTCAGTTTACTAAAAATGAGTAAAATATTGATGTAGGCTAAGAACTCGGGTTCGAATCCGACCGAGAAATTTATGTAAAAACAAAATCTTCATAGTTTTTGTTGCAATGCTATTGCGAAACGTTATTTCACAGTGAACACTCCGAACAAGTTTGTGAAATCTTGAATTAAGATTTTTAAAGTTTGTATCCAAGATCTAAATTTTATACTGGGTAACTGCCAAACAAACAACAACGTCCAGATGAACGCACACTAATGTTAACTTTGTTTTTTGAGTTTCTTGTATTTTAAGAAAGAAAGCCTGAGACGCACTTTGCACATGCAACATGGACTATAATTTGGCGAAACTAGTTTCCTCTAGCACTGAAATTATTCCGGTGAAAAGAGCCAACCCTAACCCGTCGAAGACTGTCATTGTTTTTGATGCACTCCCACCCCGTGCACAAATCTCAGTGTCATGTGCTTGTCTTGTGATATTTCCTGCCTGATTATAGGCAATTAAAGTGCAACAAATTTCGAGCTGGGAAGGCGGACTGCTGCAGTTGCTTTTGTTGTTTTTGTTGTTGCATGATTACATTTAATCGCCGATGGCAAACAAAATCATTTCGATTAAATAATCAGCTCCAGTTGAAACAATCTTCGCACATTTGCACAGTGTCTGCAAAAAGTTGAATGCCTGCTGCTGTTGTAATTATGAAAGTTTTTCATTTTGTTGTTGTTTTGCACCACCAGTTGAGTTAAATGAACGGTATGAACTCATTTTGAGAAGTCAAGTTTATGCTGCATTGAGTCACTCCATTTCATTCATCCAGCGCCAGAGCAGCTCTCGGAAGTGTAGTGAAAAGTTGGCAGTGACGACGGCGACCACAAATGTGGCTCTGACGCCGCCTCTGCGGCTTGTGGATTGCTGCGGAATCTGAACCTGAAACCAACAACGACAACGGCAACGGCAACTGCAACAGCAACTGCAACTGCAAAGCCTTGCAATGTGATACAAAATGCTATTGGCTTTATGCAACAACAGCAGCAACAACAACAACAACCATAATGGGAGCAACTGTGTGTAGACTCCGCTCCACTCCGCTCCGCTCCGCTCCGAACCGATCCCATTCCGGGCAGGGAGCGAGTGCCGTTGGCGTTGGCATCGCGCGTCGCCTTCAAAGACAAGTTTTACACCAATTTCCGCTGACTTTTTCTTGTTTTTCATTTTTTTTTTTTTAACATTATACTATATATATATTTTTTTATCTTGCTTTCCATGTTATTATCTAAAGGTTAAAGACTTATGATGCGCTTGTGGAATTTTCTATCATCTTTTTCTATGCTCGTTTTAATGGGGCTTTAATGTGCCAATTGTCGGCTGGCAAAGTGTGCGCCGTGTGTTTGTCTAATTGAAAAAGGAAAATCAAGTGGAAAATTGTGCAATTGATATTTAGCCAACCATTTAAAATGCTTCCACACATAGTTTATTGCCTAGGTGTTGCAGGAGCTAACTTGTTGCACATTCAACTCGTTACCCGATGGCCAATGAACTGTGCATCCAGATCAGCATTGCAGCTGCTATTGGGGATGAGGAGGAAGATGAGGATGAGGATGAGACACTAGTCAAAATCCTTGAATATTCATGAGTGCGTTCTTGAAAGCCAGTTATAGTCTGCATACATAAACAGAACGTTGTTGCAAATTGTACAATTTGTTTACTGCAACAGCTAATATTGTAATAAAATGTAATTGATGAAATACATTTCTGAAAAATTTCAAGTGCAGTTCGAATTTAATTTAGATTAACTGGAATTTCTGAAATTGATTTAGTTAACATTTCGAGTCAAGTATCGATTGTGCATCAGCTGTCTCAGACAAAGTCACAGAAAAATTTAGAAAAGTCACGAAATAGATTCCGTCAGTTATGACTAATCGATCTTTGGATTTTCCATTTTTCCATTAATGCGGGAATTTGTTAAGTTGGGAACAACCACATGAGCAATTTTCGAATCTTTCAATCCTTTCGCTTTCGGTGCCCTTCCTTAAACAATTGCAATTGTTTATTAAGTATCGAATTTATGGTGCTCGAAGAGTTCTTATCTTCATTCCGATTCTCAATTGCGTCAATTCCGTGCAGCACACTTCCATTCGGTTGTCTCAATTTCGAGCACTTGCCACGTTCTCAATTAGCGTCGTTGTTCATTTGAGCTAAACATATTTCGCATGTTTTTGTTTTTGTTTTTATTATTTATTTATTATTTATTATTTGTTCTTTTTGTGTGTGTGTTTTTGTTTAAACAAGTAGTTCGTATGTGGACAACCAACTCCAAAGCAATAACAATGCATTGGCCAAACAAAACGCTAACTTTTTATTTGTATTTTTTTCAAGTATTTCCGTTTGTGTATTTTTGGCATGATTTTTTACATTTTTTTTTGCTTTTTTTGCTGGTTTTTTTTATGCTGTTCTGTTTATTTTTTACGTTGAGCATTTTGTGGGTTAGCAATGTGAAACCTTGAATTTGCCAGTCAGCTTTTAACTCTAGCTTTTTTTCTTCTTTTTTTCTATTTTTTTATTTATTAGATATTCTCGCTCACGTTGGTGACTGCCATAAATTTTCACTCCGACTTTTTTGTTGTGTTTTTCCCTCATGTATTTTGCTCAATATTTACTTAAAATTTATTTGTGCCAATTCATTTGTGTGCATTATTTACACGGTTTATTTTTTTGCTCGTGCCACAAGAGCTAATGATTTGTTTTTCTTGATTTTAGCTTTTTACTTTTAGTTTGTAAACAATGTGAAAGGTTTACGAGCTGCTAAATATAAAAATTTACTTTACTTTTGTTTTCTACCCCAAATATAAGTAAAGTTTTGGCAAAGGCAAAATAATATATCTTATTTGTATTACTTGCTTGTCTTATAAATCTGTTGTGTGATATTTCAATCAATTTTTGCGATCCATAAATCCATATTGAATAAACTTTTTTTTTGGGCTCACAAAAATTCCATTTACTGTTGCAAATTTGGCCGCAATAAATTTCCCGTCATAAAATAGTTACCATATATTTTTGGCAGCTTTTTACCGAACCACTAATTTGGCCAAAACGTTGTGGTTAATATTTAAATAACTAACTGATTTGCTTGTGCGTGTGTGTAACTAACAAGCCGGGCAATTTAGAGTTATGCATTTAGCCAAAGTTTCGTTGTGCAATTCGTTAAAGCCCAGCGAAACACCGAAGTTTGGTTACACTTCCATTTGGATAAGAAACAAGTTGCATGACATTTCTTGTAAGCCCCGCCCCGCCCCGCCCCGCCCAACAATTTAAGAGTATCGTTAACAAACATTTACATGCAGCGCTTTCAGCAATTTGTGAGGACAACCTGTTCGGATTGCAAGTCGATTTTGGTTTTGCTTAGTTTTTGGGTGCGCGACACTTGATTGATTTGATTTGAGCTGCTTCGAGCTGTCAAGTTGCCTCGTTGTCCACTTTTTGAGACGGCTGCGAAGACGCGACTTTTTTGCCAAACTTGCTGTTGCTATAGTTGTTAACTTGTTGCTGTTGTTGTTGTTGTTGCTGTTATTTTTACGGGCCGTAATGATTGCGCTGATTACGTGACGCTTTCAATTGATTTGCGCGCAAAAGCCAAAATGAGCTGCCGCCTGGCTAGCGGCCAAACCAATTGTTGTTAACGTTAACGCATTTGCTGGCCAAATGAATGAAATGCTGCCCAAAAACAGCAGCAGCAGCAACA